ATTTCTCTTTCTGTTGAAGTTGAAAAAAAAGATCTGCATGCCCGAAAAAAAACCCTCGTTACCATTATCTCCCCGTTAAAAATGTATTAAAAAAAGGATCTATAGAATAAATATACAATTTCAACTGCTTCACTTCAGACTACCGATCTTATCGAGCTTATTTGAACGTATTTAAATCAAAAGGAGCTTGCAGATTTTTAATTGAACCCTGCGGGATGATTATTGAAATTGATAGACACAGCTGTAGACAGATAGGACACAGGAAATAGTTGGAACGATCATATTGGCGAAGGCAACATACTAACAGTAGCCCTTTATCGACCCTATAGACTTAGTGCAAAATTTCCCACTTGCTCTACAAAAACCAGGGCCGGATTAAGGGGGTGGCCACATGGGCCACGGCCCATGGCGACAAATTTAGGGGGCGGCAAATTTTGCAATTTTTTAAATGTAGGTTTAAAAAAAAATCGGATTCAGAAAAAAAATTATCCATAAGAAGAGGAAACAAAATCTCTTTTTCCTCAGAGTATAGTAATTTCTAATTTTGTCGTTTTTCGGTGATACAAGAGACAGCATCTTTAATTAGTTGAGTTAAGAGAGGAACTAAACACGCAATTTTGCCTGGAGCTCAGCTCAGAGAGGAATGATGACGAGGACTTGAGATGAAAAGGACAAGCCGTCGGCGCGGCGCGGCGGTCAGCATGTAACACGCATTAGCGCCTACAAGACTGCATGAATACTTCACCCATTGCGCTAAATACAGTGCGGTCACGCGGTCAGGAGCGGTTGGTGTGAAACGCATAGCGCCTACAAGACTGCAGGAATACTTCACGCATTGTGCCAAAGACAGTGGAATGCGAGGGGGCGGCAAAATACAGGCGACCGATGGGCGGCAAGTAGGTAAATCCGGCCCTGACAACAACCACCCGCTGCGGACCGAGTATTGAAATTGATAGACAAATATGACAGAAGGGATATGGAGGAAACATTGGTGGAAGCTGGGGGTTGAAACAGACAAAGGCAGTAGGTAATAGATTAACTAACGGCAACCCACGAGGAGCCCGACAGTTCGTCCATCATTTTCTCCCTTAGTCTGTAAGAACCACACATTTGAACCAATATGATCGCTCCATACCCCCTATGTCTTCTTTGTCTGTAGCTTTGTCAATCAATTTCAATAATCAGCCCGTTGGAACGAATAGAATCGCTTTATTTTCCCTGATGCATTTCCCATCTTTTTTATATCCATCGTTTTTTCTATCAATTTCAATGATCGGACCGCTGTTAAGCGTGTATTCTAGTAGGCGTCAAGGCCTATGTCACATCGGAGATAGTTCCTTTGCGTTAGCTAACCCACCTATCCACAAACTGACAATTTTGCAGGAGGAGAAAACTTCTCCATTTTTGTAATTTTGAGGTTAGATTTGTAATTTTTTTCATTCGTAACAGGTACATGGCAGCGCAGCCCTTCACAATTGGAAAAAAACTAAAATCATAAGCTTCCATATTTTATATTGTAGAATGTGGCTTTGCTAACTCATTTTTGTCAAAATTGTCAGTTAGGCGTTATTGTTCCATGCCTCCTTGTGACGGGTGCCACACACGGGAGGGATGAGGCGCCCAAAAGTGAGGCTCTGCTGCGCGCGCACGTCGCATGTTTGGATTGTAATTTCGCGGCAGATTCGAACCCAAGGGGCGAGTTCCATAATACATTCTTCTCAAATGCACAGTATTAAAGTAAAAAAAGTCCTGAGTTTTAATCACGATTACTTTAATTAAATTTAACCTCTCGTAAATCCATACGTAAACAGGGTTTCCTTCTCCGTAAATTTTAACAGTTTTATAGTGAGTTTAGTGATTAAAATTTACAATTTTTAGGAGATTTTTTAAAGTTCTTACTACAAGGGAATGTCTTGGCGAAGATTCTTTACTTTAACTCGCTTGCTCTTAACTTTCACATGGATGAAGCTGGCAGAACTTTTCGTGGAAGGGAGGGGGAGGATACGCTCCCAGGTCGCTCCCTCAAAAAAAGAAGAAAAACCGCAACAATGATGCTGTGGGATGTTTCTTTTGTGGAGGGGGGGGGGGCTCTCGAGAAGGACTGGGCAGTGGGCTCCTCTGATGCCAGCTTTGCTCTCTCTCTCTCTGATATTTTGGTACCCTGCTACGAAATTTCTTTTCCATTTTACTGTTAGCCTTTCATCCTTACTGCTACACGAATTGTTAATTTGAGAGAATAAGATTGAAGGAAATTCATTTGTGAGCTGTCTGGAAAAGAGAATTGGACGTATTTATGCTACAAGGAAATATGTGCAAATGAGTGAAAGCAAAAAGATTAGTGTAGCTTGTGAGCCCTATGCACATAGATCCTCTTGATTCGATTTATTTTCGCATAATTCTTCTCAGCATAAATACGTTCAATTTTATTTTAGCACTTTCTCGTCTCTTTTCTAAATCCTTAAGCTTCAAAAATCTCAAACAATATTTCCTCGATAAAAGCAATAGGTACCTGCACCCGCTATAATTATGATTATAGGCATAAGTCTATTGCTATAGCGTACCTACATTTAGAAACACATAGGTACCTACCTCAATTACTAAGTTTAATAATGTATGTGTCTCCTGAGTATCTTTGCAGAAAAACACCATTGTCACTGTCTGAAATTTTTACAGGATATTCTTTCTGTCTTGAAGAGAAATCAACGGAAATTAAAAGAGAAAACTGGGATCATTTCTCCTTAGAAAAAATAAACATGTTGGAAAATGACTAACGTCTTGAATCCAAAATGCATGTTTTTGGACTTAGGCCATCAGTGTGCTCAAGAAGCAGTATTCTGATTAAGTGATGATTAAAGTATTAATGGCAATATTTGTTGAATTCGTAATTTGTATGAATTATTACATTTTGAATTTTTTACTTAGAAAAATCTTTGACTCGGTTTGTTTTGTCCTCCACGGTAGCTTCTGATTCATTTTTGGACCTTTGAGTATAAATTAAGTGTTTGTAAAGCACTGATTGGCCTAAAACATATTATTTTAACGAAAGTATTAGCAAACCCCCAGAGTTTGCTTTAACACATTTCAATATAGTCGCAAAAAGAAGGATAAAAGCCTGACAAATAATGTAATTCTTCAAAATGCAGACATTATTTTACTCTAAAAAAGTAGACATAAATCCAATGAATAAAAGCTTAATACTGTGCATTTGAGAAGAATGTATTATGGAACTCGCCCCTTGGGTTCGAATCTGCCGCGAAATTACAATCCAAACATGCGACGTGCGCGCGCAGCAGAGCCTCACTTTTGGGCGCCTCATCCCTCCCGTGTGTGGCACCCTCCTTGTGACATGTGTTGACCTGCTGATGAGGACATCGTTCGGAAGAAATACGGTGGTTTTCTTAAAATTTGGCATCGTCGGGTGCACTCGACTTGCGACACAGGCTCAAGTGGCCACTTCCAACTTCCAGTTATTCTCGAGTAGAGGAGTGGAGTCCGCTGTCAGCATGGAGTAGCCCCTCGTCCGGAACCACTGGTGCCAGATAACAACTCATGAATAGTTTTTTCAGACTTGTTCCACGAAAAGTATGGTCTGCTCGCGTAGGAAAACTTCCAAGTCGAGAGGAGCGGCATTTAGATGCACGTCACGAGTTGGAAAATGACAATATCAGAAATGAAGAGTGAAAATTGTGAACGTAGTTGCAGATCATGTAAAACAACACCCAGATTGAGATCAAATTGTTTTGCGACCACGCACTATCTATCAATAAATGTGATTGGATGGAGCGAAAACTCAACTCTTTGACCCCATGAATTTTCAGTTCTTGTCACAGTTTGCTCTACTGGACCGATCTCTATGATTCTTGCGGCTATCGACGGGTGATAGTCCCTATTAATAAGCCAACTGTATTCAGATTTTGGAAACATGACCCAGGTAAAAATTTAAAAAGTTGAAGAACACAGATTTTAACTCACATTCATATCATTATTTTTCTTTAAAAAAAATTGTATACAATTGAGTTAAAATCTACATTTTTTACATTTCAACTTTTTACATTTTGACAAGAGTACTTGCGTAATGATTTAAAATCCTCTCCTCCTATTGATGACACAGGTATTTTTATATCACATGGTAAAGTTGGGAATTCTCCTACTTAGATATTGTTAATAATCATTATTCTCACATATGTTCCAGAGATCTACTGGACCTGTAGGGACAAAAAGTCGAATAAAGAAATGAAAATGAGGACAAATAGCTGGAATATTGAATAGATTTAATGATTGGAATATTTTCTGATTTTCGTTATTTTAAAATAGCTAGGAGATCAGAGGAGCCTGTATGTAGGCGACAAGAACAAGACACAAGTGAGAAGCGCAACCAAGGAATCATCTATACAAGCGAAACTTACAAGGCCCATTCTGGCGGTCATCAATGAAAGGTAGTCCCTGGATGAGCTCGATCTATCTGGAAGGGGGAAGGGGGAAGGGGGGTGTTAACCCACCTTCTAATACCCCGTTAGAAGGTGTGAATATCCCTCTAGGGGCACAGTGGGGAGCAGCCCCCTATTATACACATGAGAGGATTGCCACCCAGAAAGATAGAATAAGTAAGCAAAACTTCATGTTGATACGGAAAGTAGAACGAGAAGTTCGAAAAGCAGCAGAGGATTCTGCACTGCAATTTCTGATACGAATTTTTTAACTTCGGTGTGAGCGGTGATGTATCACGCAAAACTGAAGGCGTTTCCGACTGATAACATCAGATTGACGCAGCTCAACGACTCGTACAACTTATACATATCAATGTGCAAGTATCGGCAAAATCTTCAATATTCAAAACTATTCAAGTTTTTTTAAAATTCGGCAAGGAGTTCCAAGAACAAGCTCATTTATCCTGGAACAACCGCGGATAAAATCTTTGGGAAATTTAAGTACACAAGGTAACCCTTTCAAATTTTGCACGGAATATATATAAGAAGTGTATGATGTAAACAAAAACTCACTCGTTAATCCTGGAGGGGGCGGCCTCATTTTCCTTTGTCACCTCATCCATGCTGTTATCCTGAAACAAATCAAAATTGAACCGTGAGTTAATCTTCAGCCACTTAAAAAGTTAAAGACAGTGGCGCGCCAAAATAGAAAGGGGGCTTCGAAGAAGGCTACTAATTCTTTAGAATATGAAGCCAACCCATCGACAGAAAAAATACTTGGAGCCTACGGAAACAAATGTATAAAGAGTGATTTTGTCCGACCAATATTTGTGAGTTTTGGACAGAAAACTCCTCTCGATGTCCGAAAGTATACTTTCAAGCAATTTAATTCATATTATATGTATAAGTATACTAACAGAGGAAGTTTTGGGTTTTAATCAAACAAATTAAAGTTTCAAACATGAAATTTAAAAACTTGAGTTACATAGTCTTAAAATTAAATTCTTTTATCTCAGTCCACGCCTCCGGTGAGATACCGGTAACATTTCAGTTCAAATATTCAGAACTGATATTACATTATTTATATTAAGGCCATTTGACGAGAAGTTTGTTTTTTACATTGACAACTCAGGGATGATGAAATTCCAAACATATTTTTCTGTAAACCAAAGTAAAAGCCTCTTCATTCTTCCTCATGAAATTTTATACTTGATAAGTTACTAAATAGCTGCATTCATGCTAAAGGGAACTACTTGCGAATGAATAAAAATGACACTATGAAGCACGCACCGAAAGCACATAGTTCGTTTTGATTCAACTTATTTTTACATCATTCCTTTAAGCATGAAAGCGAATATGATTAAAGGCAAAAAATGACAGATTGAATCCAACTGTAAAGACGTTGGTGACAATCCAGATTTTTTTTTTTTTTTTTTTTTTTTTTTTTTTTTACTGTAAATTAACAATTGAACAAATTTACATACACATTTCTAGAATGCTTTAGTCTTTAAAAATTTGTTTTTAACATGAAATAATCAAATATAACTAATGGTCCAACTAAAATTTTAAGACACTGAATATTTTACTTATTTTGCCAGCTTTAAATTGCTGTTAGGAAGGGGAAATAAACGTTTTACTTGACAAGTCAAATCGAGGAAATCGACGATCCAGATAAAATAGGGTTCTAAAAAATTCCCCCACCTTGGCAGTGCACCACTGATTGCATAAAATAGAACAAGGCCTCGACGTTTAAATGCACAATTTTTTTAAAGCTCATGATTTCTCTATTGTCGGAAGCTGTGACGACTTTGAAGGTGAGCTGGTCGGACGTCACGACGGAGTATAAATTAATTTCTCGACAATGGGATAGAGCAGCGACGTTCTTTGGTTTGTGTGACATGACGTCTACCGGAGGCCAGGAAGGGGCTCTATTGACAGCTATCCCTTCATCCAGAGTATAAATCGGCGAAAAAACATGATCCGAGTATCAAAGGGCAAGAGGGTACCGTTAACTCGTCCCCTTTCAGTTCTGCCTCAGCCCGTCGGGAACAATTCTCCCTCGTCGTTTCAGAACCGCCCCTTCGGATGAAGGCTTGCCATGTTGCCGAGAGTCAAGAAAAATTGAAGGTATCCTTCGTGTCAGCAAAATTGAATTGCTCACTTTCAAAAGGACCTAAGCGCCAGAAATAATTGTCCGCCAGAAAAGTCGTGGAGACTGTATTATTCGACCAATTTTAAATCATATACTAATTAATAATGTGATTAATCAAGCGCTTTATTATTTAGGCGCCAAGAATGATAATACTAGAAAAATGGTTGTACCTATATTATTGGACCAATTTTAAATCATAAACTATATTTAATAATGTGAGTTATTTATTAAATGTTTCGATATATTAGAGCTCTAAGATTTGGAACGGGTCGACCCGTGCCAGACTATTTTTACCCATTTTAAACCGTTTAAACTGTTTTTTCCGCATTTTCAATTCTGGTGCTCAAGTTTTTTTTGATAATGATCGATTCAACTGAAAAAGCAGAAATGTTGGTTATTTGTAATCGTATTTTTTTCCCTTTCTTTTTTTTTGAATGGAGAGAGCGACGCTTCCACACTAACTAGGCCAATCAATTGAAATTTTAACAATTTAGTTTAAAACTAGTGGTAAGAAATTATTCCGAATAATTTGTCGCGAACGAGTTTTTTACTAAACACCTTTAGAAAAAAATAATTTATTGATTTGTGGTTATCCACAGTTTTTTACAGTACTACTATAATATTCAAATATAGTATCACCAGTGTTTTTTACGTCCCTCATTCATAGGAAGCATCGGCATCGTAGCGCTGCCGAGCGCAGGAAAAATCTTCGCAGGCGCCTTCAATTTTTTGAGTATGCAATGCGGACATCCATAGAGCACGAATAGTTGTATCCTGGCGCTAGCATCTAAGAGCGTCTCGGAGAGAAGTATGTAAGGGGTACTCAAAGTATAATAAAATATTTGATTGTTTAAGGGTTTCTTTCTCTCTCACTTTGCCTACGCGTTACTTTTTATTTATGTAATTTTTTATTGATATAGTTTGATAGTTGTAGAGCGTATGACGGTTGAGTAAACTTAATTTAATTTTCATTGTTGGTTTTGGTAATTTCTTTAGATTTTGGGAAAATTTATGGTTTTAAGAAGAATTATCTTAAAAAAATACACTAGCTACATCTTACTATATTGTTAGAATAATCGGCTTTCATACTCGTGCCTTAACTCATAACTCCGGACGAAGTGTCAAAATGACACGAATTTGATCCTCCTCTACGTATCATATGGGTGAAATTAAGAAGACATATTTATTACATCTACAGGGAACAGATCGGACACCTACAGAGTCAGTCATCTACAGATTAGGCGTTTTTCTTCAGCACTGATACGAATAGTTCCGCGCTTTGCTAAACGGTGTACAAGCGGGAAACGCAGTGAGAAAACTGGATAGATTACCTTACAGAATGATTATTCACATCCGAGTGGCTTTGCAATCCAATGGAGTCTTAAATAATTTGAGCAAGTGCTCCTTATTTACGCCCTGTCCTCGCACCTTTTGCGACCTCCGATTTCTCATCCACCCAGAGGCGAGGCGAGAAAAATCTATTACTGTCCCAATTTGAAGCTATGGTAAAGAATCAATTATTAAGGTGTTGGCTGCTAACAACCTGTTTATCGATCCTTTTCCATAGGTTTAAATTGCAAATTAATCAATACATCGCAAAGCGTGCCACGACTGCCACGCCACTACATTTATCTTAGTATAACATTCGACAAGCAAACTGATACATACTCCAACTATTCTAACGTTTTACCAATATTGGTCATAACTAATGTAAGTAACGTTGCATGGTGTCAACGATCATGGTGTCAACAAACCCAAAATTTGATCATGGAGTCAACGATTGTTGACGTCGTGCTCAGGCAGTAAAACGCGAAAATGGGCCCTGAGCAAGGTGTCAACGATCATGGTGTCAACAAACTGAAAAATACCTTTCTTATGAGTAAAATTAGAAAGTTAAGTGTACAGGAGAGGTTTGGGTCACCTATAGTTAGATTTAGGTTAGTTTAGGTCAGGACATGTCGGTTAGATTAGGTAAAATTAGGTATAGGGTAAGGTCGGGGAATGCTAAGTTCTGTGAAAGTCGGTTAGGTCTTGTAAGGTAAAGTTGGGTAATGTTAGGTTAGGTTAGGTTAGGTTAGGTTAGGTTAGGTTAGATTAGGTTAGAGTACATAAAACAGGAAAAACAAGATATGAAATTTGAAAGATGTTATAGAGGGAAGTTTTAAGTTTCGTTAACAATTTTCTTACTTCTGCGTTCACATTACCGATTATTAGGGCCGCAATCCCCGATAAAATACAGATTTTTTTTTGTTTTATCTTAGAAATAGTGAAAGTGCCATTAATATACTTACTCAAATAGATGGTTTTATGGATGCACCAACATTTTTCAGTTCCTTCTTGCGCGTTTCGAATCGATCCGCGGTAAAGCAAGAATGTAGTTTTTTTTTATTTTCAATTTTTCATAATTATTTCAAGATTGATAATGGGAAGAGTGACACTCCGGTTTTTCTTCAAAAATGTTGTCATTGCATCCCATTGTGTTTTGTACTTATTGAGCCAGACTGCACTGAGTAATGCTGTCCATATAATGCGACTTGGCACAGCGGTTTGGCTCATTCAGCCTAGCGTCCGGGGTGTTTTAGCGCAATTTAAAGTGACTTTTTCTCGATATCGAGGAGAAAAAACCCGCGGCCGGCCGTTGAGAAACGGAAATGAAAAGAGGGCTTTACCTCAATTTTTCTCTCCTCGCTTCATGCCCGCTTCAACTCTCACATGAGATTTCGTCGCTCCACTGACATAAAGACGTATTTCAATTTCCACAAAAACCCTGCCTTACTTATAAATCCTTGCATTTTGGGGCTCACGTGGACATTGATATACGCCGTTACGTCAGAGACGCGACGATTTGTCCGGCGACCGCTCTCTCCTGCGTTTGATATTTGGACTGAGTTAAGCAGAAAGGAACCAACCCACATTTTGGGAAAAATTGAGTTATGAGTGGTATTGAACTCAACCACTGCACTACTATCTATCGCCAAAAATTCAAAGTTTTTGTTGGAGCAAATTTTGCAGAAATTGAACTTGAAGTTTAGCTTTTACATTGAGTCTTATGCACAAGCCAAACTTTAAACCTCTTTTTCTCGGTTCGATCCCGATGTGGCTTGGTTCCTTTCTGTTTAACTCCGTCCATTTCTTCGGAAAAGCACGTGTATTCATACGAGTTGAAACCTTTTCCTCTGAGCCCCGCCTACGGTGATACTTTGAGAGTAAGGAGGTATACTACAATACTCGGACCATTGATTCTGCATTGGTCAGTCAATCAATCCATAAGCTCCATTTTTGTTCCTAAATCCCTCGAGATCGATTCATACTAAAAACTATCATGTAGCAATGTGTACGATTTGATTTGGAAACACTGGGAAATTTCAAATACAAATACAAATACACATTTTAAGAATCATATTTGCGTTGGAATGTCAAATTTTTGGCCGCGGCTATTCAATCAACTAAGGAAAATGATGATAAAACATCGAGCTAAAA